ATTCCCATCTACCATCAGCAGATCAGCCTCTTGGGCAATCTAATAATGAAGTTTATGAATGGTTGTAGGATAACCATTTCAATTTTATTTATTTTTTATTTTTTGGGTCCAGTCGTGGGGCCTGAACTCTGGGCCTGGGCGCTGTCCCTCAGCTCTTCAGCTCAAGTCTAGCGCTCTACCACTTGAGCCACAGCGCCACTTCCGGCTTTTTTCTTTTTGCTTATGTGGTGCTGAGGAATTGAACCCAGGGCCTCAGGCATGCAAGGCAAGCGCTCTACCACTGAGCCACCTTCCCAGCCCCAACCATTTCAATTTTAATACTGTATTTCCAGAAATCCTTGGACCCAGGCAAATAGGTCAGCTGTTCAAGCTAGGTAAAACTGGGAGTTAGTGGTCTGTTTCTATTGAGGAAGAAAACCACTTAAAGGCATGAGAGTGAATGGGTCTGGTAGAATGTACATTGGAGTGCTATATATGTAGGCATGAACATGGCTCTACTACCTAATTTCTTTGTCATCTTAGGTAGATCAACTTCCTGAAAGTTCTCTGAAAGCAGTGTTTTATTTTCATTTTAATTGAGACAAGGTCTCTATGTAGCCCATCTAGTCTTGAACTTTCAATCCTCCTGCCCTTACCTCTCAAGTGCTGATATTGCAGCTGTGTGCCACCATATTCAGCTCTAGAGCCAGACATATATTCTCTATCTGTCACGTTAGCTTCTTCATGTGTATGCTTAACAAAAGTTGAAAGAGGGAAACAGTGTCAGAATGGGAGTGAAGTAGCAAGAGATCCTAGCGGGTTCTGCCATTCTGTAGCTTATAACAAACAGTACCATCTGTGCTACTGCACTAGGCTTCCTATGATTTAAGAGCAGCCTTTTACTAGGAGATAGCAGACCAAGTTCCCTTCAGACATTTTTTAAACCCTATTGACTTTGAAAGCTAAGTCTCCTTATTTCTTATTTGGAGTTCTGCCTTCATTCTTTACTACTTCTTTACTAGAAGTATAGATGTAAGCAAGTTGCCTTACCTTCTTGGGCCTTAGTTTATTGTGAAATAGGGATAGTAATGATTCCTACCTAATGAGTTACTTGGAGGATTGAGATGCTATTGGCACTTAGTACAGTGTCTTTTGACAGAGTAAACAATAAATGTAAGAAATAAGATACTTCCATTTGGGCACTGGTGGCTCATGCATGTAATCCTAGCTACTTAGGAGGCTGAAATCTGAGGATTGTGTTTTAAGGCCCACCTGGGCAGGAAAGTCTGTGAGACTCTTATCCCAATTAACCAGCAAAAAGTTGAAAGTAGAGCTATGGTTAAAGTGGTAGAGTGACAGCCTTGAGCAAAAAGATAAAGGACAACACCCAAATTCAAGTCCTAGCACTGACACGAGCGCGCGCGCACACACCCCCCCCCCACACACTCTTCAAATGTTGAGAGTATTGGAGACTAGCTCTTCTCTACCCTTTGTCCTGACTCAGAATCTCAGAGAGATGCCACATCTTGTTTTATTTATCTCTGTGTACACCTAGTTCCTGCTTCATGAAAAATAGGTGTTTAATAGTATTGGTGTATGACATGATGATGGTGATGATAACATGGCCTAGCTCTTGAGATTCATAAGGGTAAAATAAGAAAATGTAGATGAGCGGGGCGCCGGTGGCTCACACCTGTAATCCTAGCTACTCAGGAGGCTGAGATCTGAGGATTGAGGTTCAAAGCCAGCCTGGGCAGGAAAGTTCGTGAGACTCTTTATCTCTAATAAACCGCTAGAAAACTGGAAGTGGTGCTGTGGCTAGCTGAAGAGCACAAGGACAGCGCCCAAGCCCAGAGTTCAAGCCCCACGACCGACAAAAAAAAAAACATGTAGATGAAAACACAAGAAGTACCTAAGTGAGGTCCTTTCTGTTCTGACTGCTCAGAATCAGAACAAAAAGCTCAAAAGCTCCTCTTGTGCATCTTCAGTGGATGCATCCAGAATGAATTTGTTATAATAACTCCTGATGCTGATGAGGAATTGCTCCTCTCTTGCAAAATCAGGCTATGAGACTGTCTCTTGAAAGTCCCTCTTTTTCTTCTTCTTCTTCTTCTTTTTTTTTTTTTAAATATTTTTTTGTCGGTTGTAGGTCCTGAACTCTGGGCTTGGGTGTTGTCCCTCAACTTTTCAGCTCAAGGCTAGCAGTCTACTACCACTTGAGCCACAACTCCACTTCTGGCTTTTTTTCTGCTTATATGGTGCTGAGAAATCAAACCCAGGGCCTCATGTATGCAAGGCAAGCACTCTACCACTGAGCCACCTTCCCAGCCCCCTCTTTTTATTCTTGAGTAGAACTGGCTGATAGGCTAACAACATCAGAGAAGTATGTTATAATGGGTCCAATTTGATATGTTTTGGGCCTTTGATATATTGGTTTCAAGGATTGATGCTTTTTGGGAGGGAGAAGGGGCATGGAGCTGCACTGGTTTGTTCTTTGTCTGTAGAAAGGTGACGTTGGGTTTGAGGTTGGTTCCATTTTTCTATGGATAAGGAACCAGCATCAGGAGACCTTGATACTGAGTTTCAGTGTAGAAACCCCAAAGACTGAATCTTTAGAGAAACTACCAGGGATGCTGGCTTTGGTGCTGGTCAGAGGGGGAGCTGAAGTGCATACTATTTTATAATAAATACTAATGGAATTCCAGATCTACAATAACATTTCACATATCTAAAACAAACCATGTGCTTGTAAAAAAGTGGAAAGAGATCAACTTTAAGCCATAAATTCTTTGTAATAGAGGTTCCCCCCCCCCGTTTATGTTTGATAGATACTTTTGTTTCCAGATGAATGTCAACTCCTAATTTCATAATGTATCATGGGCTTAAGAAAATTGAATTTAATAAAAGCCAAAGATGAATGGCATCCTTAAAGGTCCCAACACTTGTCTTTATTAGCAGGACAAACTGCAGGTCTCCAAACACCGCTTCTCTCCAAATGAAAGTTTAAATGAAAAGTACAGTTGTGTCACAGGTTAAATTTCATTGTGGGCCCAGCTAACATTGTTAGTAAGGCACTGGCCATATTTGTTTCCTTAGACACCAGAGCAGCCAAACTCACCATGCTATGGAACTCTTTCTATTGGGTGAAGTATTTCTCTTAGTGGGAGGAAGGATTTACCAGCAATTAGGGAGTTAGAGCAGCCTGACTCAACTGTACCTCAGAGTTAGCTCTTGGAAATCTTGAATATTTTCTTTTTCAGGGGGACCAATATGTATGCTGTATGTGCAAGTGCTCAAATTTGTTATTCAGAGCTGAACTCCCTCTACTTGGTCTGCTTTGTAATGGTTTGTGGGAAACAGAAGAAGCCTTAGTTAATTGGGAAACGAATGTCCCCCTTGGTTCGATTGGGAGGGGAGAGATCACCTACTCTAAGCAAGCAGCCTGGCCTCCTCTTGGTCTTCTCTCTGCTTCATCCTTAGCCATTTTGCCCTTTCTGCATCTGGCAATAAACTCCTGTCAGCTTCCCTATCTTTGGGGATCAGCCCAGGGAGACTAGGCAACCAGAACCTTTGAATTTCTTTGGCATGAATCTGAATGCCTTGATTTGGTTTGCAGCCCTGCTGTTGTGCATTAGTTTGAAATAGATGCTTGAAAAATAAGTCCAATATTAGTGGTATATTTTGGAGGGGAGGATATGTGGCTTTCCTGGGACAAGGAGATTGAGGACCTCTGTTTCCCACCCATCCATTTCCTGAGTGCAATCAGGTGTCATCAGTTGTTACTTCTCCCAGGCTGTCTCTAAAGAGAACCAATTTGCCTTGATTTTGGTGATGCTGGAAGGGTCCTCTCTAGACTGGGGGTCCTTGGGTAGGGATGTCACTGGAGCTGACTGCTGGGATCTGAGTGGGTAAAGCCCCTTTTCTTTCTCCACATGCTAATTTTACTCAGAGGACTTTTGCTTTTATTTATTTTTTTATTATTTCCTATTTGTCTCTTCCAGATGTTTTCAGGGCAGTTTTTTGTGTGTGTGTTGTAAACTAATTCCATTCATGTTTTAAAAATTTATGAAAGCGCTAATAAAAATGTCAAAGTGGTAAAAATGTTAGCTTTTCCTCTGCTTTGATTAAATTTTGCAAACTGTTTTTGAATATTAAAAAGCAATATTTTTTTTATTCTCTCTCCTTGTTTTCCCTCTTCTCTCTGGTGCGCGCGTGCTCTCTTTTGCCCTCTCCCCCCTCTGGTACATCCCTCCCTTCCCAGGAGCGATGTATGAGGCGTGCTGCACAGCCAGTGTTCTGCAAGCCTGTTTGCACACCAGGACCTTGGTGCCGTGCATCTCTATTAAATAACGGAGACAAATTAATCTTAGAGACACCAAACAAATTGTCACTCCTCCTCCTTCTCTTCCATTACGTTCCAGTGGACTGGGAAGGGCTGGCTAAGTGATTGGGCGAGGAGGGAGGGAAGGTGGGGGAGAGTGTTCACTGCCTGAAAAAAAGTGGGAGGCACTAGCTCCTGGTGTTCTATTTTCTCCTTTTTGGTATCTCCTTTGGCTTTATTATTTATCTTTTGTTTTTCATAAAAACAAATGAAGATACTATTTTTTTTAAACTTCTTATAAGAAAATGTATGTGCTGCTCTAATGACTGGTTGTCTGTGTGGCTGGAGATTCAGATTCAGGCTAGGACAGGGACCTGGACAAGAGGAAAGAGGGCTTCCTCTTTTAGGGACTCAAGTCTCTGGTAGAGGACTGTCAGGGAAACTAAGGCAGATTACTGTCTTCCTTCCTCCTCCTAGAAATGGTGGGTGGGGAGGATGTCCTATTCCCAGAGCCCATGAGCCTATTAGCAGCCAGGAGGGTTGGAGGGTTAGAATCATAACTGGGCTGGCACCTTCTTTCCTAATCTTGGCTTTGGCCTGCAGGAGTAATGGGCAACTCATCTTTTCTGAACTTGAAGTTATTATTTGAAATGGTTGACCGAAATAATTTACTTTTTTCTCTGTGTCTTTGGCATTTTAGGAAATCATTGAGTTCCCCATCCTGAAGCTAAATGGCCGGACCATGGAGATTGAATCTACCTTTCACATGTATGTCCAGCCTGTAGTCCATCCACAGCTTACCCCCTTCTGTACAGAGGTAAGGACTCTGGATGTGCAGCAAGGGTTGCTGGGAGAAGAGCTCTGGGATCATTGTTGTTCTGTATAGACTACTTAGGGAAAGCTTAGGTCTGATCAAGGATTAAGGCAAGTGTACTTTGGGCCTAGCAATTGGCTTTTCAAGTGACTTTAGTCTGTGAAGAGTCAAAGATTCTTAACTTTTGCAACTGTGATCATTGGGAGAGTAGTGGCAAAATCTGCCCCAGCTTCCCCAAATTTTCCCTTATTTTTCATCTCCATCTTCCCTGGTGACTCGACACTTTGAGTCAGGTGCTTCTGGGGCTCAGTTCCATTTCTCTTAGGACTCATTGGCAAAAGATGAAGATTTCAGGAAATATATTTATGCTTTCTTAGCTTCCACAATGTTACTATGTCCTTTAATAAGCTGGCTCTGTGTGACATAGAATATGTGGGAAAGAGGAAAGGCTAGATAAGATTGAAATGTCCTTGCCTATGCTAGTATGATACTTGGCCACCTTTTTAGCAGGTTAGTATGGACCTGTTTTACAGATTAAGAAACTGGAACTAACAGATTTTGGTGCTTGCTAGAAGAAGAGGATCCCTTGAGAATTCTGACTCTCAGGATGATGTAGAGAAGCTTTCTATAGCTACTTTCCCCTCTGCAATGTCAGGTTGTTAAATTCTGTGGTGGAATCATGAGTTGAGTAGAGACAATGAAAAAACATGGGTGTTTCTGGAATCTTTTAAGAATTTGACACTGTGGTACATTAGAGACTTCATTTATTTAGAGACCTATTTTCTACCTGTGAGCGCAATAGGAGGAGAGAAGCTTTTCAATAATCCTAAACATTTCTTTTGTGTAGAGCAGGCTGGGAAGGGCTTCCTTGGCACAAGTGGGCAGCTCAGTGGGCTCCGAGGCTGACAAAGCCCAGGTGCAAGGTCTCAAGTACTGCTCCTGGACTGAGTGCCAGTGTTTGCTGTCTTGCCAAGGTGGGTCTTTTGTTGCAGACACCTATCTGTGCAGGCTCTTTTGTTCCAACTAATGATGTTGTTCCTTCATTTTCTCTCCTAACATTCCTTTCTCTCTCTTAACCAGGTATGTTAATTTGTCCTTTGACTCCTTTTGAAAAACATCACCATTTTAATGGTGATGGAAATTCCATTCTTTACAGGAAGGTTGCACTGTTCAGTTACCCATACCTTCCAGTAGCCTGAAAGTCTAATGTCCTTTTGTCCTTCAATGTAAGTGTTGATCAGCGCTGATCCTGTTGAGCTTTTAAGGTCAGGTGAGATTGGGTATGTTTAGGGTGATATGGCAGTAGACTCTCTTGTGCTTCTCTTCATCCTCTCTGAGACCAGATTGTCTGGGAGGCCCAAGTTATAGAAAGTTTGCTACCTGCTTAGCAATGGCTCAAAGTGCTATGAGAACATGGCTCTAAGTAGAGTAGGTATTTCAGAGTAGAAAAAGAAGGGTTACTGTCAGAGCAAGAATATTGCTGCTGATGCTGTGTTGCTTTTTGAGCAAAAGGGAAGAAGGATTGTGAGACTTGTGGGGAAAAATTTCTTTATCCCAGATAGTTTCAAGAACAGCTATATATAATTTTGAGGGAGTAGAAGTAGTTATTGGGATTCTTGATGTGAACCCTGTTATGAACATGAAGACACGGTTGTACTGCAGACATTGATTGAGTCATTCTGTCTTGGGCTTCCAGAATTCAAAACTTGACATCCAGCTCTTACAATCCATTCTTGTACATGGTGGTTACTCTACCTATACAGGGATCCCATTATCCTCCCATTATTTCATCTTGTTCTCTGAGACTCTGTTTAGGGTTACTTTCCTTGGGAAGCTTTCCCTGATCCCCAGCCTGGCTTGTGCTTACATCAACATGGCACTAGTCTGATCCATTTTACTTTAGCTAAATACTTGTCTCCCTACCAGACCACAAGCTCCTTGAGGGAAGAAACTGAACCTGATCCATCTGCCCCATCTTTAAGGTCTGATACGCACTAAGCACTTGATGCATGCTCCTTACATGAATGTATACTGTAAAGGAGTTATTCACTTCTCTCCCCAAAGCAACTGCACGACTGACTTGCTCTTTTGAGTAAGTAAAATCTCTTTGGAAAACTCCAGATTACCTTAATGTTGCCCTGTTTCCATACAGGTGGAACTAGGTCACAGAAAAGCATGGATAGAAAATGGGAGCTATTAGCCTAAGACTTTATCCACTGGAACTAGCTGTTGCGGGCCTAGTGGTGGAGATCATTCTAACCAGAGAGGATGTTTCATTATTAAGTGTAAGCAACAACCCAAACCTCCAGATTGCACCTAAGTAACTCTTCTGGCAAGATTTTCTTTCTAGTGCCCAAGAAGTTCTTAAGACTCTTAACCTGTATGTGGTAAGTGGTGTGCGCACATATAGATGTAAGCACATGATTGTATAGAGAAAGGAATGGGTTCATTGTTGGACAGCAGGAAGAGGATTTTGCCTTAGTGAGTTTTGTTTTTGTTTGTGGTGGTACTAGGGTTTGAATTAAGGTCTTCATACTTGGTAGGCAGGTACTTAGCCACTTGAGCTATACTTCCAGCCCTTTTTGCTCTGGCTATTTTTGAGATCGATCTCATTTTTTGCCTAGGTTCAGTGTAGCTGGGATGACAGGCATGCCCCATCACACCCAGCTTTTTCGGTTGAAATGAGGCTTTGTGAAATGCTTTCCCTTGGCTGCCCTTGAACTATGATCTTCCTGATTTCAGCCTCCTTGAGTAGCTAGGTTTACAGGTATGAGCTACCGGTGCCTGGCTTGAATGAGTCCTTATCCCATATGCAAGCACTCTTACTTCTCTAAGGCACATATTCTTAGTCTTCTTGAGGTCCTTTCTTAGTTCCAAGTGATTGCTTGCATAGAGATGTAATTCTAACAGAAATAAGGAGGAGATACCATTAATTCTTTCTTGAGCCTCTTCTATCCTATGACCTCCAAAATCTTCTACAGCTCATCGTATTTCTGTCAGTAACAGCTGAGCTGTTGCCTTGCCTAGTCCCTGACCATGTGTGGTGGTTTTGTTTTGATTTGGTTGTTGTTATCACAAAAAAAAAAAGAGAAAAATGCTCATTTTGCTAAATGTCAGTGAAGGGCTTTGTCTTGCACCGGTATGTACAAAGGGTGAGGTTTATTGGTCTCTTTGTCTGAAGAGAAAGAGTAGGTCTGATTATCAGATTGCACACCAGAGACAAGTGCTTATGTAATCAACAAACTGTCTTGGTGTCAGAATACGATTGTGTTGAAGATAAACTGTGAAAGGAGAAAGCGCTGGATGCTGACATGGTATTGGCACTGAGTTTCCTGGGCTGCTTCCTGTAGTTGGCAATGTTTATGATGAAACTAACTCATCCCTGGACAAAGCCCTTGTGTGGGTAGGGGATCTCAGGAACGAGCCATGTTATCAGTCAGGGTCAAAAGCCCCTTGCCTTGTGGTTTCAGAGTCTGGTGAAGTGGGAGTTAATCTGTAATCCCTCAGTGAAAGGAGCCACAGAACACACATTAATTCTTCCTCTCACCTCTCCTGCTTTAAGTGGTTAAGGTCTCTGAGCCCTGTTTAGCCTGTGAGCCCTGGTTCTCAGCTTAATAATACTTGGCTTTGCTCTAGTACTTTTCATTGTGAGAATGTGAAAGCTTTTTACAAATATATATTAACCCAAGTAGGAATGGGATTAAACTGTAGCATGAAGGATTTAAGTTAGTCCTAGGATAGAACTTCCACTATTAATTTTATACAATTGTCTCTCACTAACTGCTTCTTATATGTCTTACATGTTGTTAGCATCAGGTATAGGTATTTTTACCCCTCTTCATCCAGTTCATCGGGAGAACGGGTAAGAGGTTATTCATTCTTGGATGGATGAGTACATCTTTCTAGCAATTCCCTCCCCCCGCTTCATGGGGCATCAGATCTTCCCCCTGCAAAGCTGTGTTTACTTGGACCATTGCTCAGGCCTCTATAAATTGATAAGTTGAGTTCAAATCCTCTAGGAACTCAGTGGAGAGTCATGACTGGCTGGACCATCAGTAAAAATGCATGTTTTCTAGGAAGCAAAGAGAGGATAGGAGCTGATCTCATTCATCTCCTCCCAGGCTGATGATACTGGGGTTGCTGACCCTAGCATCTGTGAAAGCTCAAGATGCTGGAGCCCTACCTTCAGCCCTAGGTGGGAAGAAGTCTATGTAGTGAGGAATTCTGCAACAGGACATCTGAGTGGCCTCCTACTTTTCCTATTAGTGAAGGTGTTTCTTATGGTGCTGAGAATGGAACTCATGCATGTTAGGTAAGCACTGAACTAGATATAGTGAGTTTCTCACTTATACCCATGGTTTTCCTGGGCCCAAGGCAGGTACTTGTAGCATACACAGGTGATGACAAAACCTGTGTTTGCAAAGAGGGAGTTCTTGGTACTGATATTTTTGGTTCTGTGTATAAAGAAGACTTTTTTTGAAGCCCTTTAGGGTTGTATGAATTACTTTTAGTGAGAGCCAAGAGGAGCAGGTCTGACCTTGCCCAAGGAAGATCAGACTAGATACATGACTGACATTCAAACCCTAGAACTTTCCAAAAAGTAAGAATGACTGTAGGCCCTCTTTTCCACAATAGTCCTGGCCCTAGCCCTAACTCCGTAATCTGGAAGAGCTTAGCAAGAGAGATCTGGGCTAGCATGCAGTGATGGTGCCTTCTTTCTTTCACTCTTTCATCTAGTACCTTGGCACAGGTAAGAAGTAGTTCTTTCTTGGAGAGATGTAATCTGGACAGTGGACCAAGAGTTGGAAATCAGTCTACTCTTGACTCTCTTTGGTCCCTTTGTGCCTGAGACAAAATGCATTGCAACTACCTGTCTGCTTGGTGTGTAGCTCTGGATAGTAGACAGGTCTTGAGTACTAGCTGTACTGGGCATAAGAGGGTACTGACAAGATGAATGCAAATTCCACAGAGGCAGTTTGTTTTGTGTGTGTGTGTGTGTGTGTGTGTTTGTGCACACACGTGCACATGTTTAATGTTCTCTGCTACATTTCTGGGTCCTAAAATAGGGTTTAACACATAGTAGGGTCTCTGAGAATAAAGGAAGAAATCCTTTGTTCTTTGAGATTAAAGTCTCTGGCCCAGGGTATCTCCTCATCTCTCAAACCTCGGTCCCCATCCCCCATACCTTTCTGTCTGCAGCAGACCAACCTTTTCTTCTCCTTGACTCAGGCCCTCCCTCTACTGGGCAATTCTTTGGTCTCCCAAGCAAGGAAAGGGTGTAGAGGTGCCAGCCGGGTGGGCATGCTGTGGGTTAAAGCTTTGCGAAACAACAGTGTAGTTAATCTTTCTAATTTATTTTCCTTTTAGACCATGGGAAGTCTGTAGGCAGCAGCTGTTACCCAATTAAAATACAGATTAATATAAAAACAGTTTCTGGAATATAAAATAGAGTGGCTGTGTCCTTACACTTCCTTAAAATACCACCTAATAATGACTTGATGAACTACAGAAACCCACCTAGAGGAACTCAGCGTTCTTAAAATGAAAATTTCTTCCCTAAAAGGTGTGTATTACCATTCCATGTAAGTCACTATGAGAAAATAACCTCCCCTCTTAGAGCTGGCAGTTTCTGTGAGTTGGGTATTTGGTATTCATTAAGAGTAATTATAGTTTAATTGGATTTTTAAACCCCTTCTCCCCACTTCAACAAAAAAGTTGTTTCCAAGCAAACCCAAGACACTACTCTTTCTGGAAGTAGCCCAGGACATGTTGGGCATAGTGATTTCTAGTTGATATTTAAGACAAGGTGATCCTCATTCTTCACATCCTTGTAGGAAATCTGTCTCTACTCTGTGCTTAAGGACTGATTTTACTTCAAAACAAAACAAAATAATAAGCTTGTTTGGACCTAGATTGAACCCAGAGCCTAGGCCTGTGAATCAGAAATTCTCTAGGCCAGATTTTGCGCATTTTGGCTTTTTTGTCTGTTTCCCTATCCCATCATAGGTGACTCTTTTCTGCTTGACTAGTTGTTATCAAGGACTCAGGTGTGCAGAGTAAAAGCAGCTGACTGGGGGGCTTCCCTGGTTTTACAGTGACTATGGCAGGGGAGGTAGTGGACAGTGAGATTCAGAGAAGGGAGAAACCTGAAACCTAATGTGCCTGTCCTGTATAAGCACTCTCCAAGTTTTGCAGAAACTTCTGTGAGGCTTGAAACTGAATCTACTTTAGACTAATTTGTGGACGTTATTGAGCCTGTTGAATACAAAAGTCATAAAAAATTTTTCCCCAAAACAAAAGCTGAATCAGGTTGGAACATAACCTTGTGGTCAGTGTATGTATGTATAGCCCCATCTCAATGCAGATTTTTGTGGGTGATGCTTATATTGTGTTCTGGGACTTTTTTTCCTAACCTAGTTCTAACCTAGTTCTCAGCCTGAAGCAATGCCAAGCCAGAGCCCTTTACAGTAGAAGAAGAGAAGAAAGGAAAGGAACCAGTCCAGCTTTAAGTCCCTGTGTTATGGTTTTCCACCCAAAGGCTGTTTGTCTTTCCTTTCAGCTCACCGGGATTATACAAGCCATGGTGGATGGTCAGCCAAGCCTGCAGCAAGTGCTGGAGGTAGGTTGAATGACCTTTAATTCCTGACCTCTGACCCTTTCCTGCTACCTTTCTCCCACTCCTGAGAATGTAGCCATGCAATTTGACTATGATTATGGCTTGATTAGAATAACATTTGCTGTCACATCAGTGACATGCTGTTGAGAGTATTGAACCATTGATCTGTCATCTCCAGCTGTTCCCATCAGGAGTTACTGATTCCTGACAAGATGTCCGAGTGCTGCCAGGAGACAGGCAAAAGGTCCCAGTGCTGCTTGGCCCATGGCTGTATGTTGGAGGCTCTGGACAGCCTATGCTGGGTGGGCAGGGGAATAGGAGAGCTGAGCTGTAGTGTGGTGGGACTAGCCCCAGGGACTGGAGGTGTTTTTGTTTAGCTTTTAGTGTTGGCTTCTCGTGGCATGTGAGCACTTCATTAACTCACCCAGAACTCCCCATCGATGGCTTTTGTTTGCTGTCAGCTCCTCCAGGAGCTGCGCTGAGGCTGCCAGCCCCACTGTAGCTTGCTGCTGGATGCATTGTGCCTGTCGGGTGCAGAGGCTGCTCTGGGTAATGATTCCTAATCAGAATAATTACAACAATTGCCTATGTGAGGAAAATCAAATTAAAGACTTTAAAACCCTTGGCAGAGACCACACTTCTAGGATGTTCTCCTCAGGGAGCTGGAAAAGGTTAAGATGCTGCTTCTTGCGCTCTAGCCCAAGGGAATAGGAAAGGGCTATGCTTGGCATCAGCTTCACTCTCACTCCTTCCAGCCTAGATGTTCAGCACTGGAAAAGGTCCCCCCTCCCAGACCTGCTTGGTAGGGGGAGGGGAAAAAAGAAAAGGCCTGTGGATTTCATTAGGGGTATTTTTAAGACCCAAAGCTTGGATCTTATCATTGATTAAGAGGAAGACGAGTATCTGGAGTAGCAGCAGGGCACATCTGCATGGGAAGAGGGTAGCTTGGAGGACATAGGGCAGAAAGGTTCAAATAGCCCCCTTAGCCAAGAATCCTGTCCAAGGGATTGAGTGTTGAGCACTATTCATGGGCTCCTCATGAAGGAACAGGTCTGAAAGGCAGCTTTAGGCTTACCTAGTGGCAGAGTGTACTCCCTATTATAGTGCTGAATTCTAGGCTCTTGTCAGCTTCTGGTTGAGTCATGGTTAGGGTTAGGATAGCTACTATAGATTGGAAAAAGATAAATACCTCTAAGATACCTCCCAGTCCCATTGTTGTTGTTGTTTTGGTTGTTGTTTTTGCCAGTCCTGGGGCTTGAACTCCTAGCCTGGACGTTGTCCCTGAGCCTCTTTGTGTTCAAGGCTAATGCTGTACCACTTTGAGCGACAGTGCCACTTCTGGTTTTTTCTGAGTAGTTTATTAGTGATAAGAGTCTCATGGACATACCTGTCCAGGTTGGCTTCTTACCGTGATCCTCAGAACTCAACCTTCTGAGTGGCTAGGATTATAGATGTGAGCCACTGATACTTTGCTTCCCATTGTTTTTGAGGAGAGATTCACTGCTATTCCTGAAAGAGTTGCTCAGCATGGGCTTCTCCTTAAAACATCAGACTCAAAGGGAAAATGGGTCTAGCAACACCTCAGCTTCATTTCCTGTCTTTTTCCCCCCCTTCAGCACTCAGGGTTTTGTGCTTGCTGGGCAGCCACTCTACCACTTGAGCCATGCCTTCGGTCCCTTTTTGCACTGATTATTTTCCAGATAGAGTTTTGCCTAGGTCATCCTGAGCGTGCAGTCCTCCTACTGGTGTTTCTATGACAGGTACATGCCAAGGTGCTCTGTCATTGATTGTGATATAGTCTTATGATCATTTTTACCTGGGCTGGTCTCAAACTGCAACCCTTCAATCTCTGCTTCCCAAGTAACTATGATTATAGGCTTGAGCCATTGTATCTGACTCTGTTCCTTCCTTTCATGTGCTGTGGATTTTGCTCATACTTCACTTTTACCTGTCTCGTGTTCTCAGTCAGTCAGAAAATAACTTTGGACTGAGAACCTCACACTTGCTCAGCTTCCTTGCTTGGTTGGCACTCTACCAGTTGAGTCATGCCTCTAGCTTGGCTTTTTGCTGGTTATTTTAGAGATGGAATCTTTTGGACTTTTCTACCTAAGCTACTTTCAAACCATAACCCTTTGGACTCCAGCTTCCTAAGTAGCTAGGATTATAGATCTAGGATTATAGTGAGCCATTGGTGCCTGGCAACAAATAACTTTTTCAAACCATTTTGTGACACAGGATCTTGATAATGTAACCCACGCTGGCCTTGAACCTGACATCCTCCTCCTGGCTTCCTGACTGCTGGGATTACAGGAGTGTTCCACCACACCTGGCAGCAAATATCCATTGAGTAGACACTGTGTGGGTCAGGGTTTAAGGCAATTGAGCCTCTGAATTCAGGGTGCTTATGTTCTGGTAGGGAGACAGGTGTTAAAAATATCAAATACAAAATTATCATGCCTGTACCTCTGCTTCTGTCAGTAGTAGCCACTTTTTCCTCTAAGTCCTATATTTCTTTCAATCACTTCTCTATTGCTGTATCTATTGTATTGGTGTGATGATCTGCCTTTCTCCCCTTCTCAGCCTACTGTCTATTTTGTGCTAGGCACTTAACACATCATCACATTTAATTCTCAGAACAACTCTATAAGGTTTGCCAGCCTACTCTGTTTTATAGATGAAGGAAACCGAGGTTCAGAGGGGTTAAATGACTTTTAAATGACTTCCCATCAATGACACAGGCAGGATAAGGAAGAGCTAAGGATTGGAACCCAGATGTGTCTGACTTTCAATCCTGAATTTTTAACTACTATGTGATATAGACTTAAAAAAATAATCCTCCTGCGTGAGTAGAAGTAGTGATGGGATCGTTTACACTGCTTCCCCATGCCTGGGATCTTCTGAAAAATAGGCAGTGCTTCATGAATTCTTTATGATAATTCTCTTGTTAGATACTGATTTTAGCATTTGTATTTCCAGTGTGAGCGCAAATAAAACCAGTCAGAGGGATGAAGGGGAAAAAAAGACATAAGGTGTGATTAGGAACAGTTTATTTCCTTGCATAAGGAATTAAGTTCAGCCTTCAGATATTTTGCTGAATTTGAATCTGTAACCAGGAAAAGGAGCAATACAAAACTGCTGCTGGAAAAGGCCATGCTATCCACTTGCCAGTGTGGCATTCCACCATAGCAAAGAGGCTTCCTCTGAAGGGAAAATGTTTTTCTTCACTTTCATTTGGTGAATAACCAGATTAAATTTGTTTAGTAGGAATTTGTTAGAGGGTTAAATGAGTGAGTGGGCTGTGGGCTGGAAGCCCTTATTGGGGCATCCTGCCTATTTTCATACATAAGGGCTATGCCTTTGACTGAGAACTGGCCATATCACAACAAGGTATTTGGACTAACCTGCTGGGATCTGAAGCAGGCTTCCAGACCAAGGGAAATAGAGAGGCTCCCTCTCCCACCACACTTGGGCTTGTGGAATCTTCCCTAAGGGATCATTCTCCAAGGGCCTTTCTGTAGTTCTTTTTTTTTTTTTTTTTTGCCAGTCCTGGGGCTTGAACTCGGGGCCTGGGCTCTGTCCCTGAGCCTCTCTGCTCAAAGCTAGTACTCTAGCACTTGAGATATAGCACTACTTCCAGTCTTTTCTGTTTATGTGGTACTAGGGAATCAAACCCAGGGCTTCATGCATGCTAGGCAGGCACTGTACTACTGAGCCACAGTCTCAGCCCACCTCTCTGTAGTTCTAAGAGGTTAAGAGCCCAGGGCAGATAGGATTGGTTGGGTAGGGTTATAATTTTCTCCTGCTCTGATTACAAGCAGCTTATCTTTATTTCATTATTGTTGCTCTTCATAGGCTCAGGGAATACCAGGAAAATCTCATCTGTTCTTGTGTACTTTTCAGAGGGTCGATGAGTGGATGGCAAAGGAAGGCCTCTTAGATCCAAACGTCAAGTCGATTTTTGTCACCTGCGGAGACTGGGACTTGAAAGTCATGTGAGTATGAGAAGAGCTCCTGTGCTGCCAGGACTTGGAATCTGCCTTTTGGAAGTGTGAATGTTTTAAGCTCACAGAACAACTAGGGCAGAGATTCCTGGGTCTTTGAGGCTACCAGGTTTAGAAGAGGGCTGGGAGCCCTGCCTTTTGCCTCTTGGAGTAGACAAATAGAGAGCCCTGTCTAGATTGCTGGGTGTGGGGCCTTCCTGCATTTGCCAAGTCTTGCTGCTCATGACAGTCCTAATTTCTGGGCTACATTTTATTGCCCTGGAAGAAAACATTAAAAGAGGGTCTGGAAAAAAAAATTAACCACCCACGTAGTATTTACAGCTCAAAGTGCTTTAGAAATACTAGAAAAATCATGTAAAGTAAGTACTATTGTTATTTTATTTTGTGCCTAAAGAGACACAAAACCAGGATTCAGATCTGAGCAACTTGGTTCCCCAATCCTTACCCTTGACTAGGTACCATTTTATCTGGCAGAGAAGACCTATTGAGAGCCTGGTTGGATGAGGTAGAGCTGCTTCCAGGAAGCTGTTCAAGTCACCAGCCTCCTCTCTCCTCCTTTGTACCCACTGTTTTTCCTCTTTTGTCTCCTGATCCTGTCCTGGTTGTGGAAGAGAGAACTAGCTCCTTTGCTGGGTTGACACTTCTGCATCTTGCCTGTCCTCGTGGATACCTGACTTCAGACATACCCCAGGGAACTAAAGGAGGGTGGGGGAGGGGGCACTGTTTGCTGAGAATTGATAGGATCAATACTGCTGTGTTCTTTGTGGCTGAAGCAGCAGCAAGTGTGTGTGTGTGTGTGTGTGTGTGAGAGAGAGAGAGAGAGAGAGAGAGAGAGAAATGTGTGTAAGCCTTTTAGCATAAGGTGGATATTGGTGGGAGGTGAGGAGTGACCAGATCAGGCATTATTTCTCACCAATCTCCTTTATATACCTTTTGGTCACAGGACATCAATGTGCCTTGTAGAGGAGTCAAAAGGAATACAAGTCCCAGCACACATAAACACACTTGTACCTCATCTGCCACATTCTTTTTTTTTTTTTTTGGTCGGCCGTGGGGCTTGAACTCTGGGCCTGGGTGCTGTCCCTCAGCCCTTCAGCTCAAGGCGAGCGCTCTGCCACTTGAGCTACAGCGCAACTTCCGGTTTTCTGGTGGTTTATTGGAGATAGGAGTCTCATGGTCTCTCCTGCCCAGGCTGGCTTTGAACCGCGATCCTCAGATCTCAGCCTCCTGAGTAGCTAGGATTACAGGCGTGAGCCACCGGTGCCCGGCTTCATCTGCCACATTCTTTGGGTTGGGTACACACACCGCACACCTCTAGGTTTGCTCTAGAAGGTTTCTGTCCTCTTGTATGATGCTCACTTGCCAGGAGATTATATAGACTGGAACTGGAAGCAGACATGAATTAGAGGAGTCTGGAAAAGACAAGGAAGGGAAAGCTGTTTTTGTTTGTGGTATCTTACACAGCTTTGGGCCCTTGAAGGCTGGAGAGTCTTAACGTGGAGCTCTTCAGCCTAGGAAAAGCTGTTTAGATGAGGGCAGGACTTAGGCTGATTTACAGAGTTTGAGGCTCTCATGGCTCAGGAAAAGTGTGTTTGACCCATTCCAGAGGCCCAGTTATTCAGGGCAGCTTCTCTAGGAATCATGCTTTTCTAGTGTTTTTCTCTTTTTGGTATGCTCAGCTTCCACATGGCTGTATTTCAAAGTCTTCTGCTGTAATAGGGATGGTATGTACATATAACTATATGTGAAAACTTTCCTGTCTATAAGAAATATCTGGCTGGGCCTCTTAAGCTTGGAGTTGGCTCCTCCATGAGCTGGAGAGGCAGTTTCAGAAGCTGATGTCATCTTTGATTTTGGCCTACTTTGGTCTGCAGCTGCAATACAGCCCTTGGGCCCTGTACTGTATTGCACCACAGTGGGCCCAGGAAAGGTGTTGATAATGCAGGATACTATATCTTTAGAAGAAATCTGGTAATCTTGAAGATTGGTGAGTAGTGAATCTAAGCATGTATGAAGGAAATCAAGTTATAATGAGAACTTCATTTGGTCCTCCTAACCAATGTCTCTGGTAGGAGGTGATGTCTCCCTTTTATAGATGAAACCCCCTGAGGCTATGAGGTAAAGAGTTGTAGCTAAACAAAATTGAATTCTAAGACAACATAGTTTCCAGAAGAAACTAGATGGCTGATTTGGATGGGGAAGGCCAGTGATGCTCTGGAGAAGGGTGTGCGGGAGGAAGCAGCTGTCAGGTGGCAGGGGGGAGGAGCAGGGCTCTGTAACTGCCTTTTAGAATCAGGACTCCACATAACTGCTGGGAAGGCTCTTAATTAAATGTGTAACAAAATAAAAACAGCCAGAGAGGAAACCTAAGTAGTGCAGCGTGACAGTGCACAGCTTATCCGTGTTCCTGGAACCTCTCGTCAGAGGCTTGTCAGTAGCTCTCGGCAGAGCCATCACCTTTCCGTGTGCCTGGTAAAGGCTGCTGATGAGCCTGACAAGGGTGGTGTAAAATTGACACTCACAACTTGTTAGTATGTGGCTTACTTCTTATTTTGACATCCATTTCCAGATTTAACTAAGTCTAAGGAATTCAGGAAATGTTTTCATTTCACATACTCATTTCTGGAAATCATGGTTCCCTTCTCATTGCTTTCCTTGCCCCCCTCCCCCTAAAGCAACTTCACATCACTTTTGTTGGAAACTGTCTGATTAGTATGGCACTGAGAAATAGAAACTGAAGTGCCAGCAGAAATCCCACTGGAGAAGAAAAAAATCTGTTCTTGTCCTGACAAAATCATTTTGTGTCCATCTTTTGTCAAAGCCTGATGAGCTGGTACTCCCAGGTTTATGGAGCTTGATGCTATAGTATCAAGATCTTGCTAAGGTGAGTTTGGATTTAATTTTTTCTCTAAACTTTTTCAAGAAATAACATAATATGGGCTTAGTTCTTGATTAGGTTACCGTCCTTACTTGGCCTATCCTTCTTTCATCTTATTTGGTGTTTTGAAGCTTCCTTGGGATTTAGTGTTGTTTCTCTGCTTACCTAGGTAGGAAATGTATCTTCTAGGAGATTCTGCCTTTGGTGGGTAGGCAGTTAAGACTGGTGGAGAGTAAAGAGTAAGACCTGCACAGGCCCCCACTTGAAGAACTTGAGGTTTAGCCCACAGTCTGATGATCTAGGTTTGCCAACCCTGGCTGACAGCTAGGGGGTTTTCTGTGGCTGAGAAGAGGAGCAAATCAGGAAGTGGACAAGATAAGTAGAAAAGCTTGAGGGAGGCCCAGGCCTTTGGTTCAGTTTGGAAAGAGGCTCCTTTGGAGACAGTTGGGGTAATTGGACCCTGTACTTAGGTGGGCATGGGGGAGGTGGCTTCAGGGCTCTGCTTAGTCAGTTTAGGAGACACTCATATACATTCAGTTTACCTTTGGGTCAGGAACTTCACTTGTTATAGGTAAGTGCTGGGCTGGTATTGGGCTTCATTTTGTTCCTGGCTTCCTGGAGGAAGAGGTAGAAGGCATGCTACGCCCACTACTTATGCTGTGTAGAGGTAGACCTGGAGCACTTCAGTTTTTAAAATGTCTAGAGATTGAAAAGTACTTGCCTAGAGTGTAGTGCCTGTTGCCACCATGAGGAGCATGCACTTGGCAAGGTCTGTTGACATTTCCCTCCTGCCTGCAGTCAAGTGCCCCAGAGTAGTCTTGAAGAACGAGACTCCTGGTACCTGGAGTGAAGTGGCACCATGTTAGCACCATACACCCGGAGAGTGTTATGGGTAGAGACTTCCCTGGGAGGGAGAGGAGTAGAATATGACTGTTTTCCTTTTGTTTTTCATACTTGCTCTTACCAGAGAGTGGGTTCATCTTTTGCCATAGCTTCAGCTATCCTCTATATACTGAGGCCTTCTAATCCTTTTCTCCAAGTGACAGATTAGAACTAACATAATCCTGCTGAAGAAAAGAAATCTACTCTGCCTTTCACTTGAACTCCAAGCCTGATTATCCCAGCTGCCTGCCTGAATCTCTACCTGGATGACCACCAACGTCTTAAAACTCAGCTGTGGGGGTTGGGAAGGTGGCTCAGTGGTAGAGCGCTTGCCTTGCATGCATGAGGCCCTGGGTCCGATTCCTCAGCACCACATAAGCAAAAAGAAAAAAGCCAGAAGTGGTGTTGTGGCTCAAGTGGTAGAGCGCTATCCTTGAGCTGAAGAGCTGAGGGACAGCGCCCAGGACCAGAGTTTAGGCTCCACGACCAGACCCAAAACACACAAAAAAACAAAAAATGAAAAACAAAAAAACTTAGCTGTTACTTTCTCCCCTCAGCCTGTCCTCCATTATTCTCTTGAATAATTAAATTAGTTTTATCCACTCAGCTCTCCTAAGAAACCTGAGAATTATTATTTCTCTAGCTACTACCAGTAGTTGCCAAATTCTTTTGATTGTGCCTTGTAGAGGTTTCTCAGATCACCACTGCCAAAGTTAAGATGATCATGTTCTTCTTGATTAATGTAGTCTTCTAAATAGTGTCCTTGACTCCAGTCTTGCTACTTCTTTATTTCAAATTGTAGTGAATTATGTCAGACTGATGTCTAAGCTGTGACAAGCCTCAACCTTTTCCTCAAGTTCAAGTCCACACTGTTGAGTTCTTCACATCTCTTACTTTCTTCTCTCTCTAGATCCGTAAGTTCTCTCTATGAACCATCCACCTCATTCAGAGGCTATATATAGCTGGCCACTTTCTAACATCTTTCTCTAAGTGCTTTCCTTTATGTTCCTGGAGCCTGTATTTATTCATACACAAAATTTTATCATAGCTTTCTCTACTTCTCTGTTTTCCTTACTAGATTGTAAATACAATTAGGATAAGGCTTGACTTGTAATAGTTGTTAAGCAAATATTTGTTGAATGATTTCCTTTTGTTGTTATTGGGTGTTTTTTTTTTTTTTTTTGCAGAGGTTGGATTTTTGGTATTGGGGATTGTACCCAGGGCCTCACAT